CCGCTTGTGTCAAGCAAGCTTTATTGAACATATCCATGGTCATCTGTTTATATGGATGTCTATAATTGCTTTGGGGTGCCTGGACTGCCTAGACAAGGGGTTCGTTTTGGTCATCTTTGTTTGTTTTCTCCTATAAAAATGGCAAGATGATCTCTGTCTCAACTCCTCAGCTGGGCAGTTGGGCAATTGAAGGAGAGGCAGGAAGAAAACATTCCAAAGAAAAGCCTGGAGTGGGTCCTTAAGGAATCCTTCTGCCCTGCTGTGGTAGAGTTTGAACGAGAACCCTCTCCCACCCCTGAACTTGGCCAGATCTGTCACTGTTCTTGGATGACCTTGAAGTGACTCTATCTCCTCCTCCCTTCCCTTCGGAATTGTGGTGTCAGCCCGTGTGGTAGGCTTAATGCATTCCTGAGACCCCAGCAGCCCATCCATCCGTCATGATGTCACCTCCCTTCTCCTCATTGTTAGAATCTCCCCTTGACATTGACTGCACCTTGCCCAGTTTCTCTTCTTGAGGATTACCTCATTGCTGCATTTTCAATGCTGAGCCTCTCTGGCCTGACAGTTCCAATTTGTCACTCATTATGCCATTTCCTGGACTTTGGGTTGGCCCACATCCGAGGGAGGGGGCTCATGTCACTCCTTAGTGTAGAATGTCCTCCCTACCAGTGACCATTCGCCCTCCTCTTTGTCCCACTTCCTGCCCTGCCTGTGAGCTTGTTGCTACTGAAATGTCAGCACTTCTGGGTTCTCTCAGCAGGCTGAGCTTGCAAAGAAATGTATGTGGCCTAAGCCCATCTATATACATAGATCACTGTCACTTCAATGTCTATATTAAGGAGCCCTGATGGGCTGCTAATCATATAGTCAGCAGTTCAAGCCCACTCCTGGGGAGAAAGATCAAGCTGTCTGCTCCCGTAGAGATTGGTAGTCTAGAAAACCTTGTCTATGGTTGAACAAACCTTGTCTACAATTGAACACAACTGATGTTTCTGGAAGCAACAGCCAAGAAATCAAACTATGCGTAGCTCACTCTTGTTCCTGTTCGGTGCCATCGAATCAGCTCCGACCCAGAAGGACCCTGTGCACAAACAGCTAAACCCTGCTTGGTTACACGCCCACCATCCTCACAACTGTTCCCAGAGTCCCTACAACTCGATGGCCATGGGCCCTGTGTGCTTTGGTTTTAAGTATGTTATTAAGGACTCCTGGTGGTCCCATGGTTATGTGCCCAGCTGCCCAGCTACTAATTGGGAAGCTGGCAGTTTGAACCCACCCAGGGACTCTGAAAGAGAAAGACTTGGCAATCTCCACTCAGAGATCACAGTCTGGCACACCCTATAGGGCAGGTCTGCTCTGCCACGTGGTCCAGCTGTGATCGGACAACCAATATGGCAGCCCACACCAACAACATCGATATCCTGGGTGCTGCTATGGTTCCACGGTAGAACTCTCATAGTCCATGCAGTTCACTTGGGCCTGATCCCTGGCCAATGCCCCTCACACACATCCACCACCCATCTGTTGGTAGAGGCTGGAGAATTACTAGGTTGCTGAAACTTCCAGGAAAAAGCAGGGCTCTGCTTCCAAAATATCAGCCCATGAAAACCCTATGGAGCATGCCGTCCAATTCTATTATACATGGGATTGCCATGTGGGAGGGCAACAACCACAAGATGTCAGTCTTCAGCAAAAGGCCAGTTCATAGCGACGTTTCCAACTGTCACCCAAC